ATGAGGGGGTTCAGCATGGAGGACTTGCTCAGGGCTTCTTTGGCTACTGAAAGTTTCTGGTGCTCTGCTGATCACCAGTCCCCTTTGCGGGATGCAAACAGGGAAAGGGGCTCTCTGCAAAAAGTCTGCTCAGTCCGTAAGTCTGTCTCCATGGAACAGCATGGATGCATGAAGTGGTATTACAGCGATGAGAACTCGTCTTCCCCTAGAGAGGCAACTAAGAAAAGAAGAGTGCTTGAAGTTACTTCTGGCCTATTAAGTGACAGTTTAGCCTGGTGTTTCTCAGCTAAACAGAAACGTGATCAGAGGCCTTGAAATAAACACTGATTTAATGGCTTGAAGTGTAGAAGCTGGAAAGGTTTCGAAAAGACCTTGTGTATATATGAGAATAAACACAAGCAGTCTACTTGGGGCATCCTAAGTTCTTTGCTTTCCACGAATCCCCAGTGTCAGGGCACTTAGCACACAGGCTCTCTTCTAAAAGCTTTCTGCTCTCTAGAATCACAAATGAAATGTTCTTTTTGTCCCAGCCTCTCGGCACAGCCCACTCCCAAAGACATCCACCTCTGCTTGCAGCCCCAGCTTCCTCTGCCCCTTTCCACAGAGAACTCCCTGCCAGTACCAGCTTTAGGCAACAAACCCACACCACAGCTGGTCACCAGCAGCCCTGCTCCCATACCTGGGGCAGGAAGGAGCCTGCTGGGTTAGAAGAGAAGGCTCCAGAATGGAGACTGAGAACAGAATCATAGAATATCCCAAGTTGGAAGGGATCCCTCTCAAAATCAAGAATGTGGATCATCAAGGTCAGCTGTCTTCAGAAACACCCGGTGCTCACTGTCCCTCTGGATGAGGGCTTTGGGAATAGCAGCTGGGTTAAATAATGGAGTATTTTCTTTGTTTCCAAACACAACTGATTCAACCAATTTGATTCCTTCTTCCTTCACCTTGCTTCTCATTTCTCAAAGTCAAGACAAGATTAATGAACCCCACAGTTCTGCTGGAGGGCTCTGCCTTTTTCGAAATACTTCAAGCCACAAAAATATCCATGAAAATACCTTCAGCAAGCAGAGAACTAAAGCTGAAAAACCCAAGTTCAGAAGCAATTAACATCAATCTAAAATTCAGTTGTTTTGGGGGCTAAGCGTAAAAATAAAAAGCAATTACTGTTGTGACAAACTCAAATAATATATTGTTTCTCCAAAGTTAATTTAGCAAAAGGAGTCTGCCTTCACCAACAGCAACAATAAAAAGGATTATATAAAAAGCTATTTGCTTGCACTGAACTTTCTAGTAATGTTATTCCAAAAAACTTATTTCTCAAGAGTATATCAGCCTCTGCCTGGCACTTGGGAAGCAAAAACTGTTCCATACAGCATGAGCAACACAGACCAGCTCTAACCATCCTCAGAAGCATCCATTCAAACAGCAGAGACTTCTCCGTCCTTGACCATGAGTGTGATAAGAGCCCATCATCTGCTTCTCCCTTCCCAGTTAGGGATCTGGAAAGCAATGGGAGCTCTGGTTCTAAGGGAAAGGGCCGGAGCACAGTGTCCTGCTTTACAGTCCTGGCAGAAATATTTCAAAAGCAACGTGAAACATCACCACATAGTGAATATGTAGCACGCAATAGCAGAGTGCTTGGTCAATGGAAACACCAGCCAACGTGTGATAATCAGTTTGCAAATTTTGAGATGTGCTCAGACTACCCTTAGTGCAGCTTTCCTATGTGCTGCACTCCTGCAAACCACACTGGAGCCTGCCTGTGCCAAAAGCTCTTTTAAAAACTTTAAGACAACAGTTTTCAGAAAGTTAGCACAGTATTTTCATTCAGGTCTTTGCACTGAAACTGGCAAAGAAGACGCAGAGTGGTCTGTCACAGCTTTCAGATGGCAGAAGAGGATTTTGCCACTGTGGACAGTGGTGGAGGCATCTGCAGGGGCTCCTGCCCCTTGGCAGCAAACAGCCTACAGTGAGCATTAAGTGCTGCTGGGCTGGAGCCGGGCAGTAGGAAGGACCACCTCACATTTGCTTATGAATGTGCCCAACAAATACTTTTATACAATTGCTTCAAAAGAGGAGAATAAAGAGAATATTTTTTTCATGCTCTACAGCTCATTCAGGGGCTCAAGTTTTTATTCCAAACCACTTGACAGTATCTCATTAACCTACTGCATATAATAAACGCTCCCAATAACAATCACCAAGTCACAAGAAATTGAAAAATCCTATAAAATATAAATAGAAATACTTGCAGGCTCATTTATTTTTCAGCTCCAGTATTAAAGAAAATGAGGCTTGCCACCCCTCTGTGATAAATACAAGTCCCAGCGCAGACTGTCAAAAATTTCCAGGAACATATCTCTAGCTTCACACTTTGAAAAATACATAACCATTTTCTTGCATGTAAAGGAAACATCTGTAAAGCTGAATCTGCCTGCAGTGTTCAGATAGGTGGAGAGATGCAAAGCTGTTCCCCACTGGAAAACTTGGCATCCCCTGGGTCACTGCACCAAATACACATGAGGGCAGGAGATGAGCCTGCTGCTTCCACAGGGCTCAGCTCCAACAAAGCCAACCTGTCCATTTCACTGCTGTCCTCATGTTGTCAAAGAGCCTCCTGTCTCCCCAGGCTTTGCTTCCTTTTGCCAGAGGATTTTCCATGGGAGCACCCCCAAGACCCATGGGGACCTGAGAGCTCCCACCATGGCTTCGTGCAGTGATGGCAAACATATGGAACCCCTGGCTTCAAAAGAAAACATTCAGCAAAAAAAATCTGAAATCAGGGTGGATAAAGGAGGAACAGCAGCTACTTGCTGGTAGCTGACAAGCAAAGTGTTAGTATGGCTCAAACACAGCCACAGCCAAAATTGAACCTGAAGTATAATGAAAGTGAGATTTGACCACAGTGCTTGATCAGAACATCCAGGCAATGGTGAATCAATACTTATGCTGAAGAGCTTTCAAACTGCCACGGTTTTTCCGTCATCAGACCCCCGAGAACACCTTACGCTGCCTTTTAGCATCTAAACATGCTGTCAGATCTGCCAGGGTCAGGCCGATCAGCTGGTGGCACCTGCTAATTCCCAGCACAACGCAGCCTCTTCAGGAACTGCCTCTGAAAACCATTCTGGAGCTGTTCAGAGGGCATTTTTGGCAGTGAGCTGACAGGGCAGACAGGTATCCCTGCAGCAGGCAAAGCCGCATCCTCCCTACCACTTCTCATGCATGCTTTTAAGTACTGCAACTGGAAAGAAAGAAAGAGGAAAGACACAAAGCCTAATTCTAACAGGATTCAGCTTTGTTTTTTCATTGTTTAATGAGCACATTCCACTGAAGCTGCAGTTTTCCTCAGCTCACCAAAGGACTAATCCACCCATAAAGAGGCAGAAATGCTGTAAAGGAGTATTGCAAATATCAGCTTAAACTTTCAAAGATACAAGTATAAGACCCTCACAGCATCTATCTCCATCAATGGCAAATGGAACATTACCAAAAAGCATGAGCAAGGTAAGGTACTCTCTGAGCTCCTGGTTTATAAGCGGAGAGATTTTCCCTCTGTGAATGTGGAAATGCATTTGGGGGAATTTTATTTCATCACTGTCAGAAATAGATTTTTTTTTCCTAACATCTTCAAAGGAAAAAAAAAAAATGTAGGGACAATTGTCTGGTGTCAGCACCTTCGTTCCCTTTACAGAGCAGCTGCGGCAGCCTACGCATTTAACTACATTTCTGGTATTAAAAAGTCAAGACACATTTCATTAAATAAAACACATTACCTTTCAGCATTGATTAGCAGGTTGTAAACGTGCCCTGCTAAGTGTGCATTAAAGCAGCAACCTGAGTTACTGGTGACTTTCCTGAAGCTTGAGTAGGTGAATGAGAACTAGAAATGTTCCCTCTGATAGCACAATGCTTTGAAGAGATCCATTAAGAAGAGAAATCATCTTTAAAGATGTATCATCTCTCTCTGTGCACACAGCTGTAGAGAGTGGGATGCAGCTGGCAGAGGTAAGCCCAAGAGCTAGAAAGCTGTGAGGACAGTGTGGTATGGCACAGAGGGTCCCTTTGAGGGCAACACCATGTTTCCCCTTCTTCTGTACTATTTCTTCCTGATCTCCCTTCAGTAACTCATTAGGGAAAGGTTTTCTGGAAGATCTGATTGCATACATTTCTATCCGTGCAATTTCCTCCAAGGCATTTCTCATGTCACCTGAGTGCCCAGACAGGGGAAGGGTGAAGAATTGCTTCTGGAATTTTAAACTTGAAACATCAAAAAAGATATTTCCTAGAGCTAATTCTAAGGAAACACTGTGGAAATGCACAACTCTCATCACTACTGGCATATTGCTTCCTCTTGTGTCTGTGTCAGCAGCCCAGGTTTGGTCAGATGTTTCACATCCTTGTGTAAAGTGGGTTTGGTGGGGCTTATGTTCAGCTCCCCACATAGTTCAGCATCACTGTCTGCTTGGCCAGTCAAAAGGCCAAGAGGCAAAGGGACAAACCCTAGTCCTGCAGAAAAATCCCACAGATCACATCTGAGAATGGCAGAGCCAACGCCAGCCCCAGGTCCTAGGGATAGCCATGGGCAGGATCCAGGCTTCTTGCACAGTTTCTTTTGGCATCACCTTTCCAGGATCAAAGTGATTGGTACCAAAATGTGTCAGTATAAATACAGAGAGATCGAGTTGACAGTTCTTATGCCAATGCACATACACACACAAAAAAAAAATCGAAACTCAGCTCAGACTCTCCATAGGCAGATTGACTTATGCCTGGTCTTTGATGGGATCTTATCTGTCCTATTGCAAGGAAGTCCAAAATTCATCTAAGCCACACCTTAAATCTACACAAATAAAAAAGCAAAACCAGGCACTGCTGCACAAGCAGATACCTTAATCTACAGGCAAACAGTGAAGAACACCCCCACAGCTTTGCAGGCACACCATAGCAGCTCACTGGTTGGATGAGACGTGGTACAGGAGCCATTTAGTGCATCCTACCTCACATTAACATCAAGCTCTTCCATCACAGGCAATAGGCATAGGTAGCTGGGTGTTCAATGTCCATAGAAGAGACCTTGTCCTGCAGTGGAGAGAGTTAGAAAGGAGAGTTATAAATTAAAGAACCTCTCATGTGTTCACATTTACCCCAGTGACGACACCCATTCACAGCATTTTACCCCTCTGCTCTGGTCTCTATTGACAGCAGAGGTTAAGTAGAGGTGTCAAAATGAAATCATACCATTGCAAAGAGTTGCCATAAATCAATTCTCTGCTATCTGCCCAGGCATACCTAGATATAAGTGACCTCTTCTAGCCTATGCTTATATATGCATTCCCTTTCAACATAGAACATGACAACATACAGCTGCACAGGACCTAAGTCTTCCAAACATACACTGAAAGCAACAAGAAGTTGTTTAAATACAATCAGTTAAGGAAAGCTCGCAAAACCTGGCTGGGAAAAGACAAGCTAGAATGCTTGGTAAATTAGTTTCTGTTTTTACATGAAATTAAAACATTGACTTACGACTAAATTAAAACAGGTTTCCTGTGACACTGTATTGTATAGCTTCATGAATACTTAATAGTAGTACTGTAATTACAAAGAAGTAAATGATTTGCAGCTCGAGTTAAAATAAATGTACTTACTCCCAGTAACACTAAGTGATATAAATATTAATGGGGCTTTTAATTCTATCAAAAATCCATCATGAGAAATGAATACACCATCCTAATAATGAGTGTGTGTGTTTGCTGCTGTTAACTCAATGGAAAAAAAATGGGATGCGTTTCTGAGCATTTCTGGCTTTTAATTGCCCCTTGCATTATTCCTCTGGAGAGCCAAGGATAATGCTACCACCATGGCACTATTAATAACAACTCAAATGAAAATAATGTCATTGTGGTTACTTGGATTCAGAGATTGCAATAATACTGAGTCAGGCTTCCTGGATGCGATGCCAGGTTTGTCGTGCAAATGAACACCCACTATCCAGGCCTGGTTCAGCACTTACCAGAATTAGCACTTCAGAAGGTATAGACTATACATAGTTTTGCCAACAAAACTTACACTAGAGAGAGTTTGATCTGAGGAAAGACTTTAATATGTAGACTACCACTGCGTTTTGCAAGTGTAAGGATGACAAGTCTAACATTTTTCAAGTCATCTCTGCATCCCTAAGAAATCACCTCCAATTTTAATTTGGAGGCGAAAATATATCATCTCCTCTGCTCCAGCTCTGGAGTTTGTCCATGGAATGAAATGCCTGGTAGGCTGCTGGGACAGCTGCCTGTCAAAGATGCAGGAAGAATATCTTAGATATGTTCTTTGGGGATGTAAAAATACAATCAGTGTTCTCTGAGCTCAAAGTAATGGACAAAAATAAACCTAATTATTTCATCTCCAAAGAGACCTGAGTAACCTCCAAGTTGAAATCGCTCATTTGGCATATGAGTTGAGTTAATTGAAATTAATTTGTAGGAAATGCATAAGAATGGGTCTAATACCGTGTTTTGTTTCAAATCAAGGCAGGAGCCCTTTCTTTCCCGTTCTGTCAGTTCAGAAAGGATAGCCGTACAGCAAACAGGACACACAATAAACTGCAGCCTGCCACAGCTGGTGAGCACCGCTTCCTTCTGCCTCACTGCAGCCTTCAAAAGCATGACATCGTCCCGGTGTGCCGTGCAGGAGGCCGAAGACCAAAGGGGCTCACTGACCCCACCATGGGGACTCAGATAGGGCAGAAACAGCCCCCAGACCTAAGATATTCACTTGGTCTTACGCTGAGTTAGCACAGGTGTGCCACAAGGAAAATCTGAGTAGCTGACGCTGACTCAAGGAAAACTGTTCCTTTGCTGTGCAGAAGAAAAGGGGCATGAGCACTCACTGTCACAGTGGGAGGGCACCGCACTGTGCTGCTTGCTGCAGTTTACACCTGTTACAGTTCTGAGCTGCAAGGGAAAGATGTACGTGTGGGAGTGAGCAAGAGCAGAGGGTGGGCATGAAACAAAAAAAAATGCCACCCATCTGCACTACCCCAGCCCACATCTTCCCTTCAGCATTGGTATTTTAGAGGACTTCTTTCCTTTTGCTTCTCCCCACAACAGCACAGAGGTGGGATCTGCAATAACTGGAGTCCCAAAGAAAAATGACACAATATCATATAATGCAAAATCTCTCAAGGAATTACTCTGTAAACATATTTGGCTCACATTAAGGACCTGGTGCTGTTCTTTGTTATTAAAGTGATTACTCATACTCAATTAGGAAACTGTCCTTTGCCTCAGAGAGACAACAGTCTTCCTAACTCAGCCTGCATGCCACCCAGCCTATCACACATGTAGCCCCTCCTGCACAAAATAGCACACGAACAGTGTATTATTAGAACAAAGTGGAATATTTAGTTGATTGTATTATCATAGAATGATAGAATGACCTGGGTTGAAAAAGACATCAAAGGTCATCTAGTTTCAATTCCCATGCTGTGGGAAGGGTCGCCAACCACTAGACCAGGCTGCCTAGAGCCACATCCAGCCAGGCCTTGAATGCCTCCAGGGACAGGGTGGGATTACCCTTAAAACAGGTAATCAGAAAAAAATACATATCTATATTAATGATATTTTAGAGTTTAAAAAACAAATATGGAATTCTTAAGCTAAAAAACCTTTGCAAAAACCTGTTCCCCCAAAGAAACTTCACTGAGATCAGTACTCTCAGCAGTATTTTCCACGTCAGCAAAGTCCAACATTTTTAATGGAAAAAGTTTAAAGCACAGCATCTTCAGCAAGCTTGACATGACAGCTCCGTAGTCCCCTCTGCGTGACAAGAACTCTTCATCTTATTTTATTCTCCTCTAATCAGTGCTACCAAAAAAGAGCAGATATACCATATGCGGATGACTAGTCCTAGTCACCACCGACTGCGCATGAGACTGGCTCAGACATGGGAAAAACAATCCAGTAACAAGTCTCAGTAAGGCTGCACTGATGGCACTCAGTGAAATCCAAAGCCACCCATCTGTCAAGAAGAGATCAGCTGTTTGTGCCTCATACCTTTACCCAGCACACCACTAAGGCAGCTCAGCAATGGTGCCCTAGCTCTGCCTCTCCACTTCTTTACCTCCACAGTCATGGGATGCAAGAAAGGAACAAGAACATGGGTGAACCAATGCATCTTCCTAACCAAGTTGTAGAAACTGTTGGGGATCCTTTACTCAGTAGCTTTAAGACACTTTAACCAGGAATTCACTTCTCCAAGACCACGAGTGAGCTGGCCAGCACAACTAGTGTCCTTTCTTACCTGACCACAGACTCGCCTGCTCTGCCCAGTGGCCTTGCTGGGTTTTGCTGCCAGGAGCCTTGTTCTGCCTGGTAGAAATGGAAGTGTCCCACAAGGTGACAGCCACAGCCAAGCCAGCCTTGGGAGAAATTTTTCTTGCAAGGTACTGATTAACTGAGACACTGACACATTCTTTATCCAATTTATTCCCATCCTACTCAAGCCACATCTAGTTCCACTTTCTGTCACTGCTGAGCTGATGACAACAGAAAAGTTGAGTCACTCTCCTGAAAAACTTACACCTCCATTTCTCGCATTGCTGGATTGTGCTGCTTCATCATTTGTGACACCTCAAATGAAACAGCACTGAGGGTGGACTGAGCAGCCTGAAAAGCCCATCTCATTTCACCTACAGATGCATACTGCTATACTGCTCTTCTGCACTACGGTGGTGGAGGAGGATATTAAAAAGATGCTGTTTCTGACTCTGAGAATTGGACTTATCCCTACAGTTCTCTGACTTCATGCCTCTCTATAAACTCAAGGTAAAAACTGGCCTTTCTCCTCACATCCTTTGCCAGTCTTGTCTATTTGGAGTAGTGACAATGACTTGATGCAGCCTTTGACTTCACTGTAGAAGTCCTGAAGACACACACTGTTAGTGGATAACAGCGGGGGAAGATGAAAAGAGCCTGTCACAGATGTTTGGAAAGCCTGTTCAGCCTTCCTCTGGAAATGGTTATCCTCCACATCTCAGCGAGTAAATTCTTCTAAGTACAGGGAGTCATTCAGCTTTCTTCTAGCATTTGTGATTCCTAGTTGAAGCCAGAGAATCACTGACATAAATAGAGACTGCTAACATCTGAGTCTGTGGTTTCAGGAGGCTCCTTACTTTCTGTAGTGCACATCCACTAAATTAAAATGGAATTGAATAAAAAAGTTTTTCCCTGATTCCCAACATATTTCATATTTGGGGTCATTTTTTCTGTAGCTCCATCTTCAGCATTATCAGAGAAACACTAGGTGTTAACAGAGGCCAGATGGACAAAACCTCCCCAGGCTACAATATATCAGTACTGTGGAGTGAAAGCCACCCAATCCAAAACTAAACTCTTGCTCAACACTAAATTCTTGCTCATCACTGTTTTGAACAACAGCCCCAAACCCTCCAAGTACTGCAACAGTACATCTTCTTCCAGCCCACAACAACACCTGAGGAGCAGGAGATGCCACAGGGATCCAACTACTTCAGTCCAATAAAGTACCTCTCTTTCCTCTGTCCATTTCTGATAAAGGTGCTACCCCCTCCCATGGCACTTCCTGCCTTGATTGCCATTGCTGTGTCCTTTTCTCCTTATAGGACAAAGCTGCAAAGTGGTCCTTCAATTGTCAGGGAAAGATTGCTGAAGTGACTTTAAATGAACGTCATTCCAGCAGGTTAAGCACTTTGCTTAAATGGGCAAAAGTAAAAAGATGAAATTGACGTGTCACTTGAAAAAAGGAAATGGAGTCCAGCTTTGAGTAGACAAAGACAAGAAGCGTCCTTTCACTGAAAGGTTATTTTACAAAATGACTCTTTGAACTCCGTGGTTTTACAAACCCAGCCCATAAGTGCTAAGTTTAGCAGGTTTACGTCCCCGAGTGACTCAGGCCTTGCAGATGGTGCGTGGCTCACAGCGGAAGCAAGCACCTTGTCCCACGTGTCTGCAGACACACAGGTGTTTCTCCATTGCCATCCTGGCACGCATGCCGTGGCAGCCAGCATCCCTCAGCCTTGTCACCCCTATGCCAAGTTATTGCTCTGCAC